TATATAGACATCCAACAACACAACATAATAAAGATTTAAAAAAAAGATATTTACCTCCTGATAACATTTAAACACATTTAAGTAGAAATACACAATAAATGCAAACTTGTTCCACTGTTTTGAATATTTACTTTAAAAAGTCGTTGAATAGCAGCATCATTATTCAACATTGGCAAAAAGAGCAGTTTAAATTAATAATCATTGGTCTGCAAATTTAAAATCCAAAGAGCCATTCTGCCTCATGTCCAACTGAATAAAAGTCATTTGGAGACCCAAATATTATGTAACCTCTTAATAAAAGACCTTTTTTTTTTTTTTGCTGAATATCTATTATAGGAAATCTGTAAAAAGTTTAAACAACTGACTCTTTTATTAGTATTATCAGCTTTTAAATAAGGAAAATCATTAAGTCTCATAAAGATGAATCATGGATTTTCTTATGTAAGATATTGTTTGATGTAAAAAAAAAAGTTAATGATGAGAAAAGTCAATAAAAATGTCATTCTGTTGGGAAAATTGAATCACATATCTTTAAAAAAAAAAAACTAGACTTTCTAAGACTGGTTTTTGTTATTATACTACATGACTTGCCTTTTTATAGCCAAGCTGCAGGTTGCAGAGCCTAAGCTAATAGGATAGCAGTGACCATGATAACTGGTAATAAATCTCTGAAACTATATTTCTTCAGAGCTGGTCAGATCAGCCTGGAAGATCCTGCACAGGTTTGACAAGTCAGGAGAAAAACAGCTTCCTTTGGAGGAGACTTCCATGGGATAGAACAGCTACTAGACACTAAAAGTAAAAAAGTATGACCTTTGAAGTGAATAATGCATCTAAAACCTCCCCTGAAGTAAAATGTTTTATATTTCATTGAACCTATTGCTGTCATATCTGTAAACAAACATGGATCCTCTAAAAGCTCATGCTGTATGAATTAAAACTTTGGTTTTAAATTCTGACACTTTTCAAAGTTCAGAAAATTGTGTAATTATTATTCTATTCTGTGTTTTTAGACTGAACCCAAAAAGTCGGGGCAGCATACCAACAATGTAAGAAACGTCTCTGACTTTTTTTCCACATGTGAAGTTGATAGTTTGCAACCAGGAAGTAGTTTTTTTATCCATCTGTTGAATATATTTGTGGATTTTGCTTGTCAGTGCGGCGTCTCCCAGCCCCACCTCGCCACGCTCTCCCTCCTGGCCAATGTTCTCAGCGCCTTCGAGTCCACAGCCCGTCTCCTCTGCGTCCAGTGACTCCTCTCCTGTCAGGTCAGAGCATGTTGGGGTGCGGCCGGGGCACAGGGCTAGAGAGCCTGACCCTTGTACAGAGGCCTCAGTCCTCGACGTCACGGGTTTGACTTGACCTTTGTTGCCTGTCTTCTCTCTCTCACTCTTTCTCCGTCTCTCTGCCTCCCTCTCTCTCTGTCCCCCCCACTCCATTTCCTGTCAGCTGCCAAATACAAAGCAAACAAAAAACAGCTACTATGTTGCTCATTGCAGCAAAGTATTGAGAAAGAAGCTTTTTTTTGCTTCTGTTATCTTTTATTTGCTTCTCTCTATCTAAAATAAGAAAAAAATAACAGCTTCTAGTTTAGATTCATATATAAATAACACTATTGAAATAATGTCAATTTGGTTTATAGCAACTTTTAACGAAGTTGAATGTCATTTAAAGAGGTTTTAGACTTTACTGAGATCTACAGATAGATAATGTCTGTTTCTTGTTCTTGTTTTAGACAATATTGTAAACAGAAACGGTCACCATTAACCTCTGGCTGCCAAAGATGATATTAAAAATCTTAGCTTCTACATATTT